GATGTATTCTGCATATAAGTTAAATACAGTGGTGCCTCGCTTAACAATTGCCCCGCATTACGACGAATCTGCTTTACAACGATCTTTTTGCAGTTGCAATTGCAATTGCAAAACAATGGTTTAAATGGGGGAATTTTGTTTTGCGATGATCGGTTCCCTGCTTTGGGAACTGTTTCTTCGCAAAACGATGTTTTTAGATCAGCTGATCGGCTGCTTCAAAGTGGCCGCTGGCTTTCAAAATGCCTCCCCTGCTGTTTTCTAGGGACGGATTCCTCGCTGTACAGGCAGCAAAAATGGCCGCCGTATGGAGGATCTTCTCTGGACGGTGAGTTTTTACCCCATTGGAATGCATTGAACGGGTTTCAATGCATTTCAATTGTGTTTTTATTTTCGCTTTACGATGTTTTCGCTTAACGGTGATTTTCCTGGAATGGATTATCATCGTTAAGCGAGGCACCACTGTAAGCAGGGAGGCAATACATAGCCTTGTCGTACTCCTTTCCCAATTTTGAACCAATCAGTTGTCCCATATCCAGTTCTAACTGTTACTTTCTGTCCCACATATAGATTTCTCAGGAGATAGATAAGGTGGTCAGGCACTCCCATTTCTTTAAGAACTTGCCATAGCCTGTTGTGGTCCACACAGTCAAAGGTTTTTGCATGGTCAATGAAGCAGAAGTAGATTTTTTCTGGAACTCTCTGGCTTTCTCCATAATCCAGCGCATGTTAGCAATTTGGTCTCTAGTTGCTCCGCCCCTTCGAAATCCAGCTTTTACTTCTGGGAGTTCTTGGTCCACATGCTGCTGAAGCCTACCTTGTAGGCATTGCCCTTCTATGGGATTGGGATGTAGATTGATCTTTTCCAATCCTCTGGCCACTGCTGAGTTTTCCAGACTTGCTGGCATATTGAGTGTAGCACCTTCTTTTAAAATCTTTTAAGATTTTAAAATCTTTTAAGATTTTAAATAGTTCAACTGGAATGTCGTCACCTCCACTGGCCTTGTTGTTAGCAATGCTTTTTAAGGCCCACATGACTTCACTGTCCAGGATATCTGGCTCAAGGTCAGCAATCCGTTCCAGAAGATGTGCATAACTCAAAATGGTCATAAGTCGAAGGACCATTTCCCATAGGAATACATTGAAACCCCATTAATCTGTTCCAGCTGGAAAAAAATACCAATAAATAAAATAAAATAAACTCTGAAAGCCCCATAGGAATGTGCTGGGGCCGAAAAACAAACACACCAAAACAAACAAAAAACACAGCCAGTCCCAGTGGAACGCTATGGGGCTGGGGGGAAAAACACAACCCCCCCACACACAGCCAGCCCTAGCAGAAAGCCATGGGGCTGGGGAAAAAAACACAAAAATACTCCCCACATACACACAGCCAACCCAAACGCGATGGGGCTGGGCACAGCACAGGATTGCTGTATCTGTATAAGGAGGGAAGGTTGGTGTCTTGGCCTGTATAAAGAGGGAAGGCAGTTAAAAAGGAAGAAATAAACCAAAATTAGTTTTGATCTCTTACCTGGTTGGTGTCTTGGCCTGTATAAAGAGGGAAGGCAGTTAAAAAGGAAGAAATAAACCAAAATTAGTTTTGATCTCTTACCTGGTTGGTGTCTTGGCCTGTATAAAGAGGGAAGGCAGTTAAAAAGGAAGAAATAAACCAAAATTAGTTTTGATCTCTTACCTGGTTGGTGTCTTGGCCTGTATAAAGAGGGAAGGCAGTTAAAAAGGAAGAAATAAACCAAAATTAGTTTTGATCTCTTACCTGGTTGGTGTCTTGGCCTATATGAGAAGGGAAGGTAGTAATAAATAAATAAATCTAAATTGAGTTTTGATCCCTTACCTGGTCAGTGCCTGATCATAAGATATGTTGTTTTACCCAGAAGATCGTTATCTCATATATATTAACATTTATAAACCATGATCTCTTTAAATTTGGAGCAAGTAATTAACACTATAAATACGGAAATAAATACAAGAGAAATCAACCCAGAAAGAGAACTATTAAGCTGAACAAGTCAATAGATCCTGGAATATTAACACATTAAATGGGTAAATATTTCAGACACAATAATCTTTGGAACCCTTCGGACTCGGAAACAATATGTAAAGAGGTCTGTTGTTCATTTCTGAACAACATAAACAAAAACTTTTTTTCTAATTATGGTTACTAAGGAAGGAGATTAACCCAATACAAACTAATGAATGCTAGGGATGAAATACACAGATTAATCACGCAGAGTGGGCAAATGTTTCAGAAATGAAACATTTCAGTTTCATTTCCAACAACTACACCCATGGCTCTATCAGAAAGGGGGCACCGAGAAAAGGATCCCCACAAATGCTACTCTTTCCCATCTGTGTGGGAAGTCTGTTGTTTAAATCCAGCTTACATCTGGCTGCCCCCTAACAAACACATTTATCTCCATTAAAAAACAACCGCAACCTCTCAAAAGTACATCAACTGCCCTGCCAGACCTCGCCACTTTAAACCTACACTAACCAGGCAACGCCTTAATGTAGTTTCCAGAGCTATAGACAAAACAGGAAGCAATCCTATCTGTTGATGCAGAGTACATATCTACCATCTATGAACCTGAATGCTTGAGGAAGTCCATGGTTAAGCCCAGATGAAAGGTAAATGTAAGTAATTTGAAAAGCCAAGGTCTCTCTAACTCACTCTGCTCCCAATGGCTGTTGAGGCAGGAAAGCAACAAGTGCGCAAAGACTTGTCAAGAACTTACAGCACTGTTGCTGCAGCAATCATGTGACCTCAGAGGTCATGTGACACCTCTCATTATGTCCTCATTATGTCACCCCTCACTGTTACAGCAGTCATACAATCCTATATCATTGTTAAATGTGAATTATAAAATTTTCACTTCTGTTTTGGTTGAAAGATTAAGGATGTCAAAGTGATCCATCCAGACCAGATGGGCTTTGTACCAAAAATATTTATGAAATATTACGTCAGTTTTTATTTAGGTACAATAGAACTCAATAAAAGCAAGGGAGAAAAAGCAGCCTTTATATTCCTAGATGCAGAAAATGCTTTTGATAATGTGTCATGGGCCTTTTTACAAAAAAAATACTGCAACATCTTAACTGAGATTCTAGATTTCAGAATTGGATACAGAATATATATACCAAACAGTGTGCTAAGATTACAATGAATGGGGTTCTAACCAATGGATTTAATATAGAAAAGGGAACCCTTCAAGGCTGCTCACTGCCCCTTCTCCTTTTTATATTATTGATGGAGACCTTTGCTTTTAGGTTAAGACAAAACCGTACAATTCTAGGGATTAAAGGAGATAGAGAAGAGGGAAAGTAATGATGAGTAATTATAGGCCCGTTGCCAATATTTCTTTTCTCAGCAAGGTATTTGAGAGGGTGGTGGCCGGGCGCTTCTGGACGAAACCAACCCCTGGATCCGTTTCAGTTGGGCTTCAGGACACGCCACGGCATGGAAACGGCATTCGTTGCCCTGCTGGATGACCTATTTAGGGAGGCCAACAGGTCCTTGATATCTCAGCTGCCTTTGATACCGTTGACCACGGTATCCTCCTGGGGAGGCTCTCTGAGTTGGTGATTGGTGAACTTGCTGTTGCTTGGCTCTGGTCCTTCTTGGAGGGCTGTCCCCAGAGAATTCAACTTGGGGAGAATGTATCGACCCCATGGTCCCTCAGCTGTGGGGTCCCACAGGGTTCGATAATCTCCCCAACGCTGTTTAACATCTATATGAGGCCGTTGGGGGGGTCATCTGGAGATGTGGAGCTTCGTGTCACCAGTATGCTGATGACGCCCAGCTCTACATCTCCTTTTTTCCATCTGCTGTGGATGCCGTTCCGTCCTTTGGGCACTGCCTGGAGGACGTTCTGCAATGGATGCAGTTGAATGGTCTAAGGTTGAACCTGGACAAGATGGAGGTCCTGCGGGTGGGTGGCCCCAATGTCAGTGGTTTGGGGAACTCCCTCTCTTTGGGGGGGTGACTCTCACCACAAAGAATTCAGTTCGCAGTCTGGGGGTCCATCTTGACCCGGCGCTTGCCATGGAGACCCAAGTAGCATCCATGGTTCAGCTTGCCCGCTTACACCTTTGGTGGATTGCCCAGCTGCATCCCTATCTAGACACGGGGGCACTCACCACACTGGTCCATGCGCTCGTAGTCTCAAGAATAGACTACTGTAATGCTCTCTACATGGGGCTTCCTTACAGACTGATATTCCAAAGAATATCAGCAAAAATAGCAAGCCTATTATTGATACTTTGGAAATAATTAAGATGCCCAATATAACACAAAATATGGAGAACTCAGAATCCAATTCTATAAGTTAAAAGTGGTTGGGGTGACTACTTAGTATATCTTTAATTTTCTTGTTCTGTTTTGATTGTGTTTTGTAATGTTTTTCAAGCTAGTAGATAGAAATGAAGAGACAGAACGTATGCCAAATTTAATTCAAATCCAAGATGTGTGATATTTTGAATTTTTTTATTACACTTGTGGATGTAGACATAACTAAAATAAGCAGAGTAAGCCTATTAGAAAAGCTCATAGTATATTCTGTGCTTTTAAATTGAGTAATTAGAGTAATGTAAGCTGCAATAATGTAACTATGAAGTAAAAACAAAACAGGAAAGCATTTTCAACGATTATGACTATAATACTGGATTATTTGCTTCTCTGTTTTTGATTATTGTAATTGTGTGACATCCGGAAAGAGGTTCTAGATTTCAGAATTGGATACAGAATATATATACCAAACAGTGTGCTAAGATTACAAATTGTTTTCTAAACTATTTCATTTTTTTCTCTCAAAAAGAGTAGGGAATACAGGAAGGAAAATGGATAGGGGAAATATTGATACTTAAAAACATTAAAACCAGTGCATTAAAACCTGCACAATCATGATCCTCAATCCCCATAGGCTCTAATAAATATGTATGTTTTACTGTTAAAAAACAATTGGTGTTTTTTTCTTATTCTGTAGCTGAGGAAGAAGAAAAAGAAGAAGAAGTTACATAGGGTCCCCTCTGTGTTGGAAGAAAGATCACAGACAGGTGCTGCTCCACATTCCTCTCCTTTTCCAGCCTTACAGCCAGGTAAGCAGAGACAGCACAGAAATCCTTAATCCCACCTTTTCATAAAAGTTAAGGTCCTGTGGAATGTGCTTTTCCAGGCCAGAGAGCTTTTAAGGACCATCCATTGCATATCCTCTAAATTTGGAGATAGGCCTTCTCAATAGGAAAAAGAGTGTGACCCTTGTATAACTCATGTAAGTCTAACCTTGTATGTCAGTGTAACTCATTGTTCTGAACTTCTAGATCTGGCTCATTTCATTTTACAAGCCAAACAGTTTTAACTAATTTCACATTCCAAAGGTTGTAGAGAAAAGGTTCCGCCTTGGTCAGTGTCTGAAGTAGTGGATGTGTCCACGAAAGCAGACACTGAAATACAACACTTTTTTTTTAATTGTGTGATTTTCTCTTTTTGGATTTTCATTCTGGCTGGATAATCTCAGCTACGTTTGTTCCTGGTCTTTCTTCTACAAAATAAAGAAAATAACATTTCCTAATATCCTCTTCCTCTTTTTTCATTGGCAGAATTATCCATCACGACTACCAACTCTTCAACGTCATCCTCTTCCAGCCTTCACCTCCCTGTATCAACTGTCTCTGCCAAAATGGTCACAGGCAGCAATGGTCCAGTTTTAGCTGCAGGTCCTCCATCTGACTACCATTCTGAGTCTGCAGAGTCCATGGATGAGATTCCTGTAGCACAGACACGCCTGGGGAGCAGTGCTCCGAATACAGCTTTCAAGAACAGTGCTCGGCATCCTCCTTTCCCTGCCGCCCGTTCCAAAGGGAGCGGGGAGAAGCACCAAAATGCTGGTTGCGTAGAAAAAAGCAGGAAATGTCAACTGCCCACAGCAGGGCAGCGGAGGGAAGAACTCGAACTCTCTCATAAGATCCCAGATGTGTTTGTGAGCAAAAGCAGTGGAGACCTGCCTGTCCACAATCCCTGGTCTAGGGAAACATCATCTGAACCATCTCACAGAAAATGCTCCAGCAAGCGGCATATGGCAGCCAACCAGGACTCCCTCATCTGGGACTCAAGTGCCAGTTCAACAGCAGGATAGGCATTTGATGTCCTAAAAGCCATAATGGCAGAGAGAGAAGGAGGGACCCGTGTGGCTCAGTTACTCTCCAAATATACTCCTTTTCAAGGGTTTTTAACACTGAGTATTCTGTCTCACTCTCTGGCGTTGACTAGCAGATGTTGGGTTGCCTTCCTTTTGTGGATGGGGAAATAGATTTATTCCTTCACGTATGTTCCTCCTGTGGCTAAGTTATTTTGCCTTTTGTAGGGCAGCCAGGGATAGAAAGCTGGTTACAGGTGAAGTGTCTTCCTGTGCATTTTGTACCATGAGTTCTAAGGTTTCAGTGCTGAAACCTTGGAGATGTCTGAATCCTTATTACAAGCTCATATCAAGTAAGTAAATGCCCTTTGCTTAACATGGCATTTCCCACTACAAGTGCAGGAGCAGGTGACACCTTTAATCAGCCATCGAGAATACAAAACAAAAACAAAAGTAGTGAGGTTTTGGCCCATATTTTAAAACAGGGGACATTCACAGGCAATTAAAGGTATCACCTGCTCCTGCATTTGTATTGTTTCCACAACCATGTGGCCTTTTCCTGATTTTTCCATGGCATTTCCCAGGCTGAGTGCATCTGTGTGTGCCAAAAGCACCTGCATCAAATCTACTGTACACCAACAGGATTTGGAAGAGTGCTAGTCATCCAGGAGTAATGATTATCTGGAAAAAGACTGCTTGGTCTTGTGTTCTTGTGAAATGGAAAGTGCAGAGGCTCAGATCCCAAACAGGTCTTTCCTCTTCTGTGATGATGTGTGTGTGCCTCGGAAGGCAAGCTTACTTTTTAAAAATGCTGGATTCAAAGATCAGAGGCAGTAATTTTCCTTATTTATGTGCTTTTGTTAATACAAGGCAGTCGTTCTCAACCTTGATTCCCCAGTTATTCTGGGCCTCCAGCTCCCAAAGCCAGCATTACCAGCGGTCAGAGATTCTTTGAATTGAAATCCGTCCAAGGAAGACCTGGTAAGCCTTCACAGGTTTTTTTTCTCCTTTTTCCTGCAGGGGAAGAGACTAGCCCAGCATGGGCAAGTTCTTCTTGTTTGCTCCAGAGACAAGACTAATAGGTCAACCTTGTTGAGTTCACTTTCCCTGACTGAGCGTGCACGGGCCTATTTCCAGTTTGGCCTACCTCCAGAGTGCAGAGGTTCATCTGACCAGTCTCAGAGTTTTGTAGGGGATTTTTCTGCCACAGCAGCTGGGTCTAAGAGCTTCTTCCTCCCCTCATCCCCAGTGAAGGGTTCCTCTTTATGTGCAGACTTCTACCAGTAGTGTAGAGGGTTTGAGGTTTGGGGGCCCTCATGGGTATAATTATCCCTATAAAAATTGCATGCAAAGAAAACATATGCCAGAAATTCAACTTTTGCATCAGTTCAAGGGCATAGCTGATTCTCATATGGCCACTTCATGAGAATTGCTGTTCTAAAACTGCAGATGGAGACAATTGACTCAGGTTCTGTAGAGGGCATGATGATACTTAGGAATGGTCAGATTTTCCAAGTATTTCTAGTCATGAACCTGCAGGAGGGACACATTTTGGCATTCTGAAGACAAACTTCAAGAAACTTGAAAGGACACTTTTCACATTTGGATGCAATCCTTGGATCCAAATTGGAACTCCAACTCCAGTCCATTAGAGCAGAGGTCTGCGGCCCGGTGTTTGTCCATGGCCTGAGCCGGACTGGGCCACGGGGACAGACCTGCTGCCCCACCCCCCGCATGCAGTCACCCCTGCACAGCTGATTTGCGCATGTGCGTGCACTCCAGCACACCCGTGTGAGCGCCATGCCACTGTTTGCACATGCGCACAAGTGAGCACGTGCCCATATGAGCACTGCACTGCCATTTGCACATGCACATGAGCGAGCACCCACACAAGCCCTGAACCACCATTTGCATGTGTGTGTATACGCAAACGAACGCGAGGAGGTTCTCCAGGCAGTCCATGGGGTGAAAAAGGTTGGGGACCCCTGCATTAGAGCACTCACCATCTTCTATTGTTGTACTGCTCTAACATTTAAGAGGTTTTTCCTGATATTCAGTCTAAATCTGGCCTCCTGTAGCTTGAGACCATTATTATGTGTCCTGCACTGTGGGATGATCAAGAACAGATGCTGCCCCTTTTCTGTATGACTACTTTTCAAGTGTTTGAAAAGTGCTATCATATCACCCATCAGCCTTCTTTTCTCAAGGGTAAAGATGCCCAGTTCTTCCAGGCTTTCTTCCTAGGGCTTGGTTTCCATTCCCTGATTGCTTTCTTCCTAGGGCTTGGTTTCCATTCCTTGATTATCCTTCTTGCCCTTCTCTCAACTTGCTCCAGCTTGTCAACATCCTTCTTGAAGTTTAGTGTCTGGAACTAGACACAGTACTCTAGATGAGGCCTAACCGGTGCCAAATAGAAAGGAGCTAGTACCTCATGGGATTTAGAGACTATGTTAATTAATCATAAAAGAGCATTTACCATTTTTGCAGCCAATGTTGCAACGAGCGCTGTTGACTCATATTCAGCTTTTGTTTTATAACAATTCCAAGATCCTTCTCACTCATATTACTGAGCCAAATATCTCCCATCTTGTAACTGTGCATTTGGTTTCATTTCCCTAGGTGTAGAACTTCACATTTATCTGTTAAATTTCATTCTGTTGTTTTCGGCCCAGTGCTCAAAGCTTATCAAGATCTTTTTGTATCATCCACAAATCTGATAAGTATTCCTTGCACCCCCAAATCTGATAAGTATTCCCTGCACCCCCTTATCCAAAATATTAATTAAAATGTTGAAGAGCACCAGGCCCAGGATTGAACCTTGTGGTACAGATCATATAAATAAAGCTTGAATAACCCAAGGGCCCATTATACAGCCCTGACAGACCCTTTTAACAGCAGAGATAGGCGTTGTCAGATTCCTGTCTAGCTCACATCTTATGTGAAAGGGATCTTAACCCAAGGGCCCATTATACAGCCCTGACAGACCATTTTAACAGCATAGGTGTTGTCAGATTCCTGTCTAGCTCACATCTTATGTGAAGTTGAAGGGATCTTACAAGATATAACAATCTCTCTATTCTGACCACAACTCCTTCCTGTATTTAAGGCTTAAAATTTTGTCTCAATAGTGGTGTTTTGTGCCCAGTAGAGTGTAGGTGAGAGAGACAAAAGGGTGCAATTTCATTGACAAGGTGGGAAATGCTCTCAGATTAGGATGGTCTGATTCACATTATTTTCCATTGACTACATGGCATCCAATTCCTTGCAAATGAGTCCAGAGGTTTCCCCCTTTAATTGGTAGATTTTCCCTCTGCCGCTGGCATGTCTGTGTGTGTTTTTTTTAATTGAATGTGTTTGCATCAGTTCAGGCTACTTAAGCTGATGTGGAGGTGTTTAAAGGCATTCCAGCTGGCTACAACAAGAGGAAGGCACAGCGGGAGGGAAACTGGCTGCCATTTGAATCCTCCCCTCTGCAAACCTGGTGGCTGCAGGTGTTTCTTTCCCTCTCCTTCCTTTCCTGTTATACCCTCCCCAACTTTTTAAAGGCTTGTTAATCTAGAGATAGGACAGCTAGGGAACCGGGGTGTGTGTGTGTGTGAGTGAAGAATCAGCAGAGAAAGAGGAAAAAGTTATTAATCTTATCTCTGCTAGGGAACCGGGCTAGCTTGTTATCTTATTTCTAGCTTGTTAAGATAGTTCTACTCTTAACTGTACCTCCTGCAAATCTAGATGGCTTGAGCAGAACTATCTTTAGCTACAAACAAGACTTTTGAGTGCTGCCCCTCCCCGACTCCTGTGTGGTGGACTAAAGTAGATTAACCTGGGGAAATCCAACTTCCCAGATACAACTTCAGAGTGAGCCTATTTGCATTTTCTGCCATATAGTTGCACCCAAAGTAAAATTAAGTGGTCACTATCCAGTCAATCACCTGTTGAGAAATGAGGCATCTAGCTGGTTAAGAAATGAGAAGCCAACACAAAAGCTACCACAGTGCCACTGTTATAAGTGAATTCTGAACAATTGTAAAATATGTGATTACAGTTCGAATTAGAAGGACAATCAGGCAGCCATTTAAGTTAGGCATCTGCTGCCAAAATTTATCTTAGAACTGAGAGTGAAGTTCTCAATGTCAATTGACATCCCTTAAACCAGAGGAAAAAAGAATATTATTGCTGGGATCTAATCTTGCATTTAATTATCCCATTATGATTAAATGAGCTCTGGGGTACAGTATTTAGATTCTCACTTTATTATATACTTTTCAGGTCTCCCTAGGCCTGTCTTGTTCTGTTCCTTGAGGGGAAGGTGGGGTGATAGACATTGATCAATAATAGGGATTTAGTGCCAATCTCAAGCCACTTTCCTGCACTTAATAGTTGATTGGATGCAGAAATCAACATTGCCAAGTTGGCCTTACTTTTTCCTTTACTTTGCACAGCAGGCACATCATTTGCCAAGAACACATTGAGATAGATTTTCTTGGTAGACCAGGTTTCCTGAGTACAAATCACATTATAGGCTTTTAACAAATCTAGCACCTTAGTGTCAGTTTGCTTGGAAGCCCAGTGTTCTGTATCCCAGGAAAGTTGTCCGCAATATAGCAAAACTCATCTCTAAGGCAATGGGCATAAGATCTCACTACATTGATCAAATAGGGGTTCCCTGCAGGAGTGGCTCACTCAATTAAAATATGTACATGTTTTATATTTTACTATTGAAATGTATTTTATCCCTTTTAGCTGTTTACTTTGGATCTATGTGATTTGTATGATTTTTGATATGGTTGAAATGACTAATCAAATAAATAAATACTGACTACATCAGATTACATTCTAGAGTAGAGATGGCCCCTTACTGAGGTTTGTTGGTTTGGTGTAGTTTATTGGAATGGGCTTGCAGAAGAGCCAGATTGGTGCCTGTGTGCCACCTGTGGGCCCAATCCGTTAAATCGTGTTAAACCAATGAAGTGCCCATCTCTAGTTTAGAAAGCATTTAAAAGGTTTGTGTTTCCCTCATCCCCTCTGATAGGGAAATGGTTTTCCCCTCATTCAAGCACAGCTTTTTGCTGTGGAACATTTCTTAGTGCTTCTACGAAGGGTTAAGAAGAAGGTGTTGTCAATTAAGAATCAAAAGACTTCTGAACCACAGTGTAGTACAATAGCTCCAGAAATCTCTTCTCAACAGAGGTCCTTCCCTTTTCAACATTTATTTGTGGATATAATGGCTCGTGGGTGGGCTTCACCTGGTGCTGTCAAACTTAAGTGTTATTATACCTTTCCTGATGCTACGATGGATAAGTGTAAAATTCCTATCCTATATGTAGCTACTCTGGCATCAGGGGCCTTGTTTCCTAAAGATGGGGTGACATCCCAAAGAACCCTGATGAGAAAGAAGTAAGATGTTTTTCTTTTCAGGTCTCATGAAGCCATGGCCTTGGCAATGAGGACGTCTGAACTCTGGTTTGAGAGTTCGCAAAGGCTGCTATATCGTGAAGTGTTTGTCTTATCATGAAGTGGCTTAAGAAGACAGCCACTTCACGATATAGGGAAATTAAACACTTCCTCTGCTCTGTGGGGAAATTTGGGGGGAAAATTGAAAACTTCCTCCTGGTACTTGACACTGGATTCAGCTGTAGGCAGATTCTCAACTCAACCTTTAAGAAAAGTCAAAAAGAAAAGGGGAAACATTTCCTTCCTTGCCCCCTCCCATTTCCAGGAGGAAGTATTCTATCTTTTTAAAAAAAGAATGTAACTCATGAGTGTTGCCCTAATACAGTGTAATAAAAAAAACAACCCTTTTACTTCCTTTGCTCCTTCATGGAGCAGAAGAAATTGAAAGAAGATACTACACCACATAGGGTTATTTGAGGTTCATATGCCATTTGGATGCAAGGATCACACCCAACCTTAAGCAACCCTATTTAGCCTGCACCAGCTCACTCTAAATAAGCCTATGTAGGCAAGCATTAACTCCCAAACTGTTTTGTCTTCTACTCTCTTCACAGGAAGGAAATAATTTGCAGATACAGTAGTGCCTCGCTTGACAACGTTAATTCGTTCCAGTGAAATCGCTGTAGAGCAAAAACGTCGTAAAGCGAAATAAAAAAGCCCATTGAAACACATTGAAAACCATTTAATGCGTTCCAATGAACTGAATAACTCACCGTCCAGCAAAGATCCTCTGTAGGGGCGGCCATTTTCACTGCCTGTAAAGCGAGGAATCCGTCCAAAAACACAGCAGGGAGCCATTTTGAGCAGCTGGCAGCCATTTTGAAAACCCGACTATCAGCTGTTTTGATCATTGTAATGCGAAGAATCGGTTCCGAAAGCAGGGAACCAATCGTCACAAAGCAAAAAAAACCCCATTAACACATCGTTTTGCGATCGCAAAAACATCGTGAAACGGATTTGTCGTTATACAGGTTAATTGTTAAGGCACGATAGTGTGTTAGTATAGACAAAAGAAGGTGGCTACACCTTTGGCTTGTAAAAAAGGAGGATGGATGTATTAAACCAATTCTCTTTTCATCGCCGCATAGAGGACGAGATTTCAGGTCCACCACAGTGTCATGGTCTGGGCAGTGGAGTCAGTGTAGATAGCCCTAAGCTTCTTCCTTCAGTAGAGGGAACAGTCTGCAAGGATCCATGTGTCTGAAATTATTATTTTTTTTGCCACCTGTGTGATTTTATTTTATTTTATTTGGCCACCTGTGTGAACACCAAAGACGTCTGCCTCCCACAGCTAGATCATTGCAGTCATTGGTGGTTATGGGAAGGTCTTTGGCCCTTTTTGTTGGAGGAACGCAAGTTCTCAGGGTTATCTGATAGAATTTGCTCATTCCCAGTGGTCATACTCAAACTATCAAATAATTCAAAATGATTGACACTTTCATTCTGCCTCTGGAGCAAATAGGAGGCACTGATCCATTCTAGATTACCTTCCTTTCATTGCACAAAAGGATACTGCATGATAATTCCAACTTTCCTTTCACATTTGGGTAAGACCTATCTAGTGCTAGTTGTGGTTTGTG